ATAAACCGAACTTACTTTTTGTTTATAAAGAAACGCTTATGAGTATCACTAACCCTGAGCAGGAAATCCCTAGCACTCTTAAACATGTATTACAGGAATATAGGGATGTGTTTCCTGAGGAGAATCCGGAGGGATTACCACCCATTAGAGGCATAGAACATCAAATCGATTTTATCCCGGGAGCCTCATTGCCAAACAAACCAGCTTATAGAACTAATCCCGTGGAGACTAAGGAACTAGAAAAGCAAGTCACGGAACTCATGAAGAAAGGACACATCCGTGAAAGCATGAGTCCATGTGCTGTGCCCGTACTACTAGTACCTAAAAAGGACGGAAGCTGGAGGATGTGCGTCGATTGCAGAGCCATCAATAATATAACGGTTAAGTATCGCCATCCCATACCTAGATTAGATGATATGCTAGATGAGTTACATGGGTCTTGCATCTTTTCTAAGGTTGACTTAAAAAGCGGATATCATCAGATTAGGATGAAGGAAGGGGATGAGTGGAAAACCGCATTTAAAACTAAGCAAGGGTTGTATGAATGGTTAGTGATGCCATTCGGGCTTACAAATGCACCTAGTACATTCATGCGATTAATGAAACATGTTCTTAGAGCATACATAGGGCATTTTGTGGTTGTTTACTTTGATGACATCTTAGTTTATAGCAAAAACTTAGAAGATCATGTTCAGCATTTGCGTAAGGTGTTAGATGTGCTTAGAACGGAGAAACTCTATGCCAACATGAACAAGTGTACTTTTGGAACGGATAACTTGGTCTTCCTAGGTTTTGTTGTGAGTGCAGATGGTGTTAAAGTGGATGAAGAGAAGGTAAAAGCAATTAAAGAATGGCCTAGTCCAACCTCCGTAGGAGAAGTGAGGAGCTTTCATGGACTTGCGGGATTTTACCGAAGATTCGTTAAGGACTTTAGCACCTTGGCTGCTCCGCTTACTGAATTTATCAAGAAGGACGTTGGATTTAAGTGGGAAACGGCTCAAGAAAAAGCATTTCAAACCTTGAAAGAGAAACTTACTCAGGCTCCTATCCTTTCCCTACCTGATTTTGTTAAAACTTTTGAAATCGAATGTGATGCATCGGATGTTGGTATTGGTGCTGTGTTGATGCAGGACCAGAAGCCTATAGCTTATTTCAGTGAAAAGCTAGGAGGAGCGACACTTAACTATCCAACCTACGACAAGGAACTCTACGCTTTGGTGAGGGCTTTACAAACGTGGCAACACTATCTCTGGCCAAAGGAGTTCGTGATCCACACCGACCATGAGTCTCTAAAACATCTCAAGGGACAACAAAAGCATAACAAGAGGCATGCTCGGTGGGTAGAGTTCATTGAGACATTTCCCTATGTCATCAAATACAAAAAAGGTAAGGACAATGTCGTGGCCGACGCATTGTCCCGGAGGTATGTGTTACTTTCATCTTTGGATGCCAAGTTACTTGGTTTTGAACACATTAAAACTCTCTATGAGAATGATTCTGATTTTGGAAAAATATTTGCTGCTTGTGAGAGATTTGCATTTGGGAAATATTATAGGCATGAAGGATACTTGTTCTATGATAACCGTTTGTGTGTTCCTAACTCGTCTTTGAGAGATTTGTTTCTAAGGGAAGCACACAGTGGAGGATTAATGGGACACTTTGGTGTGTCTAAAACTTTACAAGTCATGCAAGATCACTTTCATTGGCCACATATGAGGCGAGATGTTGAGAAAATGTGTGAGAAATGTTCAACTTGTAAACAAGCGAAAGCTAAGTCGCAACCCCACAGTTTGTATACTCCTCTCCCTATTCCTTTGCATCCTTGGAATGACATTTCAATGGACTTTGTAGTAGGATTGCCTAGAACTAGAACGGGTAAGGATTCAATCTTTGTGGTGGTGGATAGATTCTCTAAGATGGCGCATTTCATTCCATGTCATAAAACCGATGATGCTAAGCATGTAGCCGAACTGTTCTTTAGGGAAGTTATACGTCTACATGGCATGCCTAGGACCATCGTATCTGATAGAGACACCAAGTTTCTTAGCTATTTTTGGAAAACGCTTTGGTCTAAGCTAGGAACTAAGTTGTTATTCTCTACTACTTGCCACCCCCAAACTGATGGTCAAACCGAGATAGTTAATAGAACCCTATCCACACTTTTGCGTGTGTTGATCAAGAAGAACCTAAAGGCTTGGGAAGATTGTTTACCACATGTAGAATTCGCTTATAATCATTCCATACATTCTGCTTCTAAATTTTCACCATTTCAAATTGTTTATGGGTTTAATCCCACCACTCCTTTGGATTTGATGCCTTTGCCTCTGAGTGAAAGGAGTAGTACAGATGGAAAAAAGAAAGCAGAGTTGGTTCAGCGAATCCATGAGGCGGCAAGGAAGAATATAGAGGACAAGACAAAACAATATGCCAAGTATGCTAACAAGGGCCGCAAGGAACTTATCTTCGAGGAAGGAGACTTAGTTTGGATTCATCTCCGGAAAGACCGTTTTCCCAATGAAAGAAAGTCTAAACTAATGCCAAGAATGGATGGACCTTTTAAAGTGCTTCAAAGGATCAACAATAACGCCTACATACTGGATTTGCAAGGTAAGTATAACGTGAGTAATACTTTCAACATTATTGATCTTGTTCCTTTTATTGCAGATGAGTTGGATTTGAGGACAAATCCTTTTCAAGTGGGAGAGCCTGATGTGAGCATGGAAAGCATGGAGAGCTTGGAGCATGGAACTAAACCGCAGCTTGAACCCGTGGAGCTTGGAGCTGAAGATGATGAAGCATTGATCGTCCCCAATGGTCCCATGACAAGGTCTAGAGCAAAAGAGTTCAATAAAGTCATCAACAACCATCTACTTACCATTCAGGCCAGCCTTAGAAGTGAAGCTTGTCCAGCCACATTGGTTGTGATTCAAGCCGTCTAAGCGATGACAATGGAGGTGTGTGGACTTGTGCTCTTTTTTCCCTCCTCTTGGTTTTGTCCCAATGGGTTTTCCAAGAGAGGTTTTTAACGAGGCTTGGCCACATACTTCTTACCTCAGCCCATTGTCATCATTCGGCCCTCTTCTCTTCTTGTTTCAATTTGAATTTCCTTAGTGTTATTTCTATCTTCTTTCTATTCAAATTTGGTCTTTATGTGCATGATTTTTCGAGGCATGTCTCGTAAATTCTATGCCTGACCGAAATGACTCTTCTCCTTCTTCCCCCTTCTCTTTATATTCTGTACTTGACTCTTCATTCTATTTTCATCAAACTTCTCATTTCTAAAACTCTCTCTAGTTGTTTGATCCGAGTAGTGTGTAATATCTATTCAACTTGATTCTTCTCTTGGTGTGTAATATCCTAGAAGAATTAAGCATCGAAAGTCTAAGGAACATCCGCAATCCTTAGAAGTTTCACTTCACCCCCATCGTTCAGATCATTCACCAAACCAAATCATCACTTCCGCATCACCAATTCAACCACACGAAGAGCATCAAGGGGCAGGACTCATTCATCACGATCAGGAGTCTATCAGCTTTCAAATGCACTTGGTTTGGAGACATTCCAACGGTTGGATCTCAAGATATTTCATTAGCCCCGGAGCCATTCGAAGTCGGTCAGCAACTCACCCGACCGCGGCCAACAAGCCATTTGCCACGATCAGAAGCTTCCCGACTGCGGCCAACAAGCCAATTGCCGCGGTCACAACACTCCCGACCGCGACAATCAACCTCCGACTTAAAGCCCACTTATCTGAAGCCCAAAGTCATTCCCAGCCTCAATTCCGGAACCCTAGAAACCATGGAGTATTGGAGACTATAAATATATGTCATTTAGGTCGTTTTTAGACACAACCCTTCATACTTTACGGAAACCCTTTTCCTTTAGCCGTTTTTATGAGATTTTTGTAGAAGATTGTTCAAGTCCGAGTTCTTCAATAGAGAAGCTTTCTTTATCTCTTTTCTTTACTGTTTTTCATTACTTTTATTAAAACCAATGATGATGTCGAACTCAGCCATGTCTGAGTAGATCCCGAGTTGGGCTTAGGGTTCCCGAAAGAGGCTCTCATAATCGATTAAGACATCTAGGTTTATAGATCTGGGATTTCGACCTGTTCTCTGTTTATTCTTGTTCTTATTGCATGTATGCTTGATTGATCACCTAGTATCTGATCTAGATAGTTAGTGTTGCGAAAGTTTTCATTAAGTATCAGCCCTAGAATGAAACAGGCGATTTTTCCGTAGGAGTGGAAACCTACCTGCGGCGAGATCGTGAGTATTGACGAGTCTTGTGCAGCTCTTGCGTTCTCTCCCTTCCAGGGCCAGAGTGGAAACCTACTGGTCAGGGTTGCGAGAAACAGTTGGTTATGATCACGACAGTGACGTAGTCATACCGCCGTACTCTAGCTCTAGAACCCATATATTGTTATCTGTCAATCCCAATCTATCTACCTTAGTGTTAAAACCGATTATGATCCCTTAGAGTTCCCAAAAGCTCAGCGTTTTTAGCCATAGTTTACAATTTCATCGATTTTTACTTGTTTTCTTAGACCTGCATTTCAATTACCTTAGTTCATTATTTATTTGCCTTATTTACTTTTCATGCGATATCTTACTTGCTTTATTAGTCTTTCATTCGATATTTGCCTATTCTAATTGCATTCCATTCGATTTTCTTACCTGCTTTTTAGGATAGATTTATTTTCTTCCTTTTGTTTTAGTTTAATTCGAAAGAAAAACAACCAACCTTTAAAACCAATTTAGTCTAGACATAAAGTTAAAAACCGTAGAAGAATACCAGGCACACAAATCTCTGTGGATTCGATCCCTAAATACTACAACTGATTAGCTGTGCACTTGCGGCTTTCATTTGTTTTGTTAAGGGTAAAACTTGTTCCCTCACGTAGTTGACACGAGCATCGCATCACCAACGAGGTTTGCGTCTTAAAACTTCTTTGGCGACTCTTAACGGCAAAGAACTCCTTATGGGTTCGGTGGTCCTATATGAATCTGATGCGCAGATCTTCAATCTGGCTTCTCCCTGATACCTTAAACAACTTGGCGGGTTCTTGGATGTGGAAGCGACTGCTCAAAAGTAGAACCCATGCTACTTCATTCTTAAAAACTGAGATCGGTAATGGGCGGAGTACTCTGTTTTTGTTGGTGAACTGGTCTTCGTTGGGTCTTCTTCTTCCTCTCCTCGGTTCAAGAGGATTCATCGATTTCGGTATTCCAAGAGAGGCCACTGTAGAAGAGGTTATTCTCAGGCATCGCAGGAGAAGCCATCGTCTACCGCTTCTAAACAGGGTGGAAGAGGAAATTGAAAACTTGAGAAGGCGAGATAGAGCAGACAGAGAGGATAAAATTTGTTGGAGATCGAGTGCAACCGGGTATACAAACAGGTTCAACACTCGAAATACAACGCAGCAGCTGAGGCACACTTCTCCAAAAGTGTCGTGGGTGAAAGATGTCTGGTTCACGCATCACACCCCAAAATTTAGTTTCATCACTTGGCTTGCTCTTCATAACCGTCTCGCAACGGGAGTGCGTATGCAAGCTTGGAATGCAAACATCTCTGCGACTTGTGTGTTCTGTCGTCACCCCTTGGAAACGCGTGAACATCTGTTCTTCTCCTGCAACTTCTCGACTACAATTTGGAGAAGTTTAGCAGAGGGAATCCTCTTACAAGATTATAATGCGGACTGGAATGGTATTGTGCATCTGATCTCCACACCTTGTCACCCTCGTGTGAAGAGCTTTCTGATTAAATATCTGTTCCAAGCGGTTCTCTATGCCATATGGAAAGAACGAAATGATCGTCGACATGGATCTCCTCCAATCACGGCGGTTCGACTAATAAAGGTGATCGAAAAGGGAATCAAGAATAAAATAAGCTCCATTCGCAATTCTGGTGATCAGCGATATGACAAAGCTCTCCAACTCTGGTTTTCAACCAGATCGGCGAACTGAAACAGACTTCTCTATTAAAGTTTCTATTTTTGTATCTTATTAAACAGCTCGCATAATTTCATGTAGAAAACGCTTTTTTCGGTTTGAATAAAATTTAACATTCATCCAAAAAAAAAAAAAAAGAAAAGACTCCAACAAGTGTTTTAAGGATCCCTCTAGTGAGAAAAGATGAGTGAGATGAGAGAAAGAGCTTCATGAGAGGGTAGACTAAGTGTGAGACTTTGGGTTAGAAGCACCTTAGGCGTTAGGGTAGATGAGTTCTTACCCTTGTATGCATTTATTGCTCTTTACCTTCAGCATTTTGCTGAATTGAACCACATATGCATTGAATGAGATCATTTATATCTGATAGCCTCATCCTTAGACAAGAAAGTTTGTGTAGATTAAGGTTGATTATTCAAGCCTGCCAATACGCTTCAAAGATCACCTGTACCGGAGGTATTTCAAGCCGATTCAGCTTCCAACTTCTTCATCAAGATTGGAGCGCACCGAGTCCTTTTTCCAGAACGCTTTAAATCAATCAATTCCGAGTTATAACAATTTGAAGATGCACCTGTCACGTGGCCAAAATGTAGATTAATCCGATGCGCCTCAAAGAACCGCTGTACCGGAAGCCTTGCACTCTCCAGATGCATTTGGACTCTTCATCAAAGTTGCAGCTTATTGAGTCACCTGTCTCCTGGAGTTGGAATATTGAGTACCTGATCACTTTCTTGGAAGTTACACGAGTTTAAGCACACACATGTCAAGACCGGATCAATTTACCATTTAATGCAAGTATAGTTCTTTGCACCGGTGCATGCAACGGTCAAGAACGTGATCGGTGCAGCTGGGTAGACATACCTTAGAGGTCTTGCACCGGGCTGTGCTACGGACTAGAGTGACCTGGTGGCATGAGAACTGCACCATTGCCAAAACAAGATAATGCTAAGTGTCAAGCTGTGCAACGGTTCATGCAAAGGTTCTTACAGACCGTGGCTTCAAGAAAGAAGACTCTCAGAGTTTGCAGCGGTCACTACAACGGTCCCGAATGACTTGGTGCAACCAAGAAACACCTCAGCAATGGTGTTTGCAACGGGAAGAAATGTGACCAGTGCAACTCCTAAAAGGTCTGGAACATCTTGCAACGGTCATGGCAATGGGAGAGTGGAGACCGGTAAAACAACATGGAGGGTCATTCGCTGAGTACAATGGCCATGATGAAGCCGGTGCAACACCAAATTTTCTTGCAACGGTTTTGTTGCAACGGTGAAGACATGACCGGTGAAAGCATGGAAGCACAAACCCAGATTCAGAAATGGTCAGTACAACGGTGAGTATAGTGACCGGTGCAGACCTCAAGACCCAACAAGGCCGAGTCAAGACCGGTTTTTGATAACACCTGATTTTGGCCACTTTTATGGATCACTTTCAATATCTTATACAGGTGTTATCAGGTTTTTGATAACACCTGTTAATAAGTGTTTTCCATGTTTTGGAGTTTTATAAGAATTTTCAGGAAACTTGGAACTTTGGAGTGCATTTGGAGCAAAAGTACATTTTTGGATAAATTCAGGCCGTCAGAAGTTTTGAAACAAAAGAAGACCTTCTTACTGTCTGATCATCCCCAAATTTGGAGATATTATACAGGAGATCACCAGCTTTCCAACACACTTGGAATCAAAGCAATACAACAGTTAGATCTCTAGATATCATCAATGCACTGAAGGCCAATCAACACAGTCCAGTCAAGGACAGAAGCTTTCACCCGCGACCAAGCTTGTTCTCATTGCGGCTCAGGTTGTTTCACCCCCGGTTGACCTATTTCCGAACCTCAGGAGCCCAACTAAGGCCCAAGACACTTCCTGCACTCATTTTACAAGCCCTAGACGCCCAGACTTGAAGAAGAGCCTTTTAGGTCTTTTGTAGGAGAGCCTCTTTCTTCTCTTTGAGAGATAACTCATTTGTAGTTTTAGGTTTTATTTTTATGCATCTGTAGAAGCTTTTCATCGCCACACTGTCTTCAATAAGAGAAGTTTTTTCTGAAACTTTTGTTTCCTGCAACTTTAGTTTCTTTACTTTTCTGCTTTCTAGTTCTTAAACCGATAATGATGTCTAACTCAGCCATGTTTGAGTAGTCACCAAGTTGGGTGAAGGGGCAATCCAAAGGGATCCCATGTTCGACTGACATCTAGGTTTTTAGGAAAAAAGATTTCGATTTTTACATGATTCTCCCATTCATCCAAATCTCAAAACGGTAACTATGGATTGATCACCCAGAGTCCGATCCTATGTTAAATCCGAGCCACGAGAGTGTTGTATTTGGGTTGCCTGAAATAGATCTTATGGACGTCACTGTTGTAGGAGACAAAAGCTACCTACAGAAGATACGTAAGCCGAGATGGATTCCGATCTGAAATGCATGATCTTGTTCTGACATTAGAGCGAAAGTTAATTGCCATAAATGAATGATTAGATGATTAGGGTAACGAGAGTTGGATAATCTTACAAGTGTCTATCATAGTTTCAGAGTCATAGAAAATCCTTGCCTAAATTTCTTGTGTTTAAAACATGAACCCTAAAGATGAACCCTAATCCCAGCACCGTTTTTCATATTGTTTTCAACCGCTTTTTATTTCAAGCTTTTTAATTCTCTGCTTAATTAGAGTTAGTGACAAACCAAAACCCGTTTTTATCAGATTAGGTCTACGATTGTTTTTAGCATCTGTTAGAAGTCCTCAACACACAAATCCCTGTGAATTCGATCTGTAAGTACTACTGCGTCTGCTGTGCACTTGCAGCTTGTCTAAAGTAAAACTTGTGTTAACCACTGCACCCACACCAAGTTTTTGGCAACGTTGCCGGGGATTCGTTGCTGTTGATATGATTTCCTAATCTAATTTCAATTATAGAGCACAAGATTTTAGAGTTATGCTAGAGATTTTCTAATTTCTCTTTTTATCTTTGCTTTCTATGCTCTCAGGTGCATGAAAACTAGGAGAAATCCTACCAACATTGTACCACCCTTAAACGAGATTGACAAACACAAAAGAGAACTTTGGAAACTCAGACGAAGGACGCTCAAGATGGCCAATCTGAATGTCATCGGGAAGATCTTTTAAACCGTGATCAAGATGATCACATTGGAGATGATGACCGTGATTCTATTCACGATGACGACCGAGATGCTGCCCATGAAGGAGATGGCCAGCCACATCTCGATGAAGAAGGAAACCAAATCCCTAGAAACGCTGCTCAAGCCGCTGATGATCAAAGGAGACGAGATCGGGACGGTCAAGGAGAAAGAAAGAATGATGAAAACATTGTTCCACTTAATGGTAAAGAGGCCAATCGACCCATACAGCTTGCCAATCCTATGAGAAGACAGCCCTGCAATATACTTATTTCCGATTTCTATGCACCTTACCAACACTTCCAAAATAGATCGGCTATTCAAGTTCCTGCCCCAACAAGAGGAGATCACGAGATAAAACCTCAGATTGTCTCTCTAGTGAAGCAAAATCAATTCCATGGAATCTCTACTGAGCATCCAATGGACCACACTGGTATTTTTGAAGAAATATGTTGAATGGTGAGTGATGTCGGGCAAAACGGGGTTGTTGTTTTCGTTTTTACTAAGCTTTAGGTTTTAAATTTATAACCCCTAAATGTCTGCAAGTAAGTACTTAGGGTATCGATCCACATAGACTTAGTTGTTTCAGTACGAATTCACGGCAACGCCTAAATCAGATTAGAACTAAAAAGGTTTTGGTTTTAGTTTTGGGTTTTTGGTTGTCACTAAATCTAAACTAGAAAGCAAGTAAAAAGCAATTGAAAGAAAACTAAAGCTAGTAAAGCAAGTAAAGCAAGTAAAAAGCGATTAAACAAAGTGATTGGAAGCAGGTAATAAGCGAATGAAAAGCAAATAAAATCAAAGGTTGTAAGCAATGAAAGACAAACGTTGGGGCTCAAGGGGTTTCGCAGGGGTTCATGGACTAAGCTATGTCGATTTTAAACAAGTGATAAAGGTAATCAACTACGTATGTTCTAGAACTCGAGGCACGGAAGTATGAATAGCCTACTTTCGCAGCACTAAACAACTATCTCTCGCAACCCTGATCAGTAGGTTTCCACTCTGATCTTGGAAGGGAGAAGATCCAATAGCAGAACAAGACTCATCAACATTCACAACTCAACTATAGGTAGGTTTCCACTCCTAAAGAATCATTGCTCGTTTCACCCTAGTTTAGACAATCAATGAAAGCTTTCGCAACATATCATGTCAGATCGGCTTCTAAGTGGCCAGCAAAGAATCACGCAGTAAGATTAAAGGCAAACGAAGAACATCTAGAAGATAAATAATCCTAAATCTATCAATTCATAAGCAAAGACACATGAAATTCCCTTTGAACAATCCCTTTAAACCCAACTGGGTAACTACTCAAACATATTGTAACAAAGCATCATAAACGAAATTGAAAGTGCAGGAAACTAAAGAAAAGAAGGAAGAAAAATGGAGAGCAGAGTTGCAGGTGGAGGCGCAATGATGCTCTCCAGCGGCGGCTCCTTCTTCGGGATCGACGGTGGTGGCCTCTAGGGTTCCACACGAACTCTCTCTCTCTCTCTAAGTATGCGTTTCTATTCGTCTCTCTCTCTCTTTAGAATGACCTAAAGAGGATATTTATAGCTTCTGGGGTGGTCCTGAACACTTAGGGCTTCAAAAATAACGAAAGGAATTGATCTGGGCTTTAATTAAGTCGTCTGGAAAGTGAACGACGAATTTCCGCGGTCGCGATGGCTCTACCCACGGGAAAATAAGTGTTGGCCGCGGTCCCGGCACATGGCTCTCTTCTGGAACTGCATTTTTTGTCATTCTTGCATCGGGAGTATCTGAAGATCTAACTGTTGGATTGTCTCCAAACCAAGTGCATTAGAAAGCTGGTTGGATCCTCTATGTTGTCTTAAATTTTGGAGGTGATCAGAAGGTGAGAAGGTTTTCATCGCTTGTCATACTTCTGACG